AAACATATAAAAACTCCCTAAAACAACACCATATATACAAATGCTTCTAAAAAAAAAAATAAATGCAAACATAACCCATTAATATACAATCTTTAAGTAATAAATAAAATCTTACTCATTTATAATATTTACGAATTTATCACCTCTACTACCACTCAATCCAATAACACAACATAATTATAAATTCAACCACCATATTTTTAATTCACCCTATCCCCATACAATAAATACCTCAAAAAAAAAAAAAAATACTAATAGAACACAATTGAATTTACAATCTTTAAGCGATAAATAAAATCTTCTAAATCTTGTTCATTTATAAAACTCATAAATTTATCATCATTATCACCATTCAACCCCAAATGACACAATATAATTATAAATTTAATTACCAAATGTCTAATCCTCCACATATATATGCACAAAAACACACTAACACACATTTTTTTTTGGTTATTAACAAATCCTTCTAACCAATAACTGCTTTTATTATAAATACAATAACTCAAGTTTTTATATTTAATTAAAAACAGGGTAAAAATCATGGACATCTCCTAAATTTTGGAAATATTATACCGACACCTCATGAAATTTTATAAATAACACAGAGACTCCTTAAGATTTGAATTCATTGCATAGAGACCCCCTTTATCTTCCTTCTGTCAATGTTGCTACCAAAAATTGATAATTTCATCCCAAAAATTTTTATTATTTGTACAATTGCTCTTCTCAAAATTTAGAACCAAAAAAATAATTTTTTATAAAATCAAATAAAATTTGATTCAATATCCAAAAAATGGATATAATTTAGTACTCCAAAAAATTGATTAAATGAGTTTCAATATTAATTTGATAACAATAAAAATAAATTTGATATTAATTTGACAAAGTTGAATATAAATTAGAAAAAATTAAATGTTAATTTTTTTAAGGTTCATTTCATGTTGAATATTATTTGGTATTTATAGTCAATGTGCTATTTTTTATTTACATTAAATGTTATTTACGAATTAAGAAGCAATTGTCAAAATACATATCATCAAATATATAAAAATTTTGAATTAGTTTCATGAAATAAATAATTGCATAACATGTAATTTTATTTGTTTTATGAAGTAAATAATAACAAAAACAATACGGGGGAAAAAAAAAATAATAGTATGAGAGAGAGAGAGAGAGAGAGAGAGAGAGAGAGAGAGAGAGATAGATAGCTAGAGAGAGAGAGAGAGTTATATGAGAAATAAAACTCTTAGAGTTATAAAAAAATGAACGTCCAAATAGGACCATCAGATCAAAATGATCTAAGCCGCAAAAAGCTCAATATATATATATATATATATATATATATCTCAATAGTAACATGCTTAAGAAAAAAAAAAATAACAATATTAAACATTGAGTAAAATTGAAAATAAAAATAGTAGCATTCGCCCATAACTAGAGGAAGAAGCTTCCAATTTTTTAGCATAAAAAAGTAATACTAAAAAAGTACTAACATGTTCAATAAAAAATAATAACATTAAAAAAAAATAGTTATATATTTTAGTAAATTACGTTTTCAAATTTATGTTACTGAACTGATATTACTATGCTAACATCAAGTACTTGGCGTACACTGTTCATTCAAATCTCAAAAGCTAATTATTTAAATGTATAACAGACAAAATAATGACAAAGAATTTGAATTTGAAGTATTATGGAAAGATGTAATTGACAATTACCCTCGGAAATTAAGTATTCCTATACTCAATCATTGACCTCCATATATAGCTACTTGTAGATAATGTTTTTAACTTTTCATAATTCACCAAACTAACACTATTAAGGATATTTTTGAGATTAAAAAAAAATAGACTTAACTCCTTACTAATAAAATTAAAAATGGACTTATCCTCAAATAAGTTTCTTTGACGGACTTAAGTCATTACAAGTCCATCCAGTAGGACTCATAGCCTTTCAGTTCAATCTACCCTACTTCATCGTCATTGTTTGGTCCCGACTCCTAATTTCCATCTTATAATTTGGTAGATAAATCACATAATTAAAATTAATTTTTATTTATTTTATATTTAGTTTGGGATATCACATAAACTTACAAGAAATTCAGTTTTATAAGACAAGGAATCCAAGTCTATAAAGTACAAACCCATGAAGATTGGAGAGAGAGAGAGGTGTTTTATATAATTAGGGGTGTCAAAATATGACATGATTCGTTAACACAATATGAAGTGAGAGGATTTGGATTTTGATTTTGTTTAAGTCACCTATTTTGTAAATGAATATACCCGACACCATTAACAAAAGAATCGGGTATGAGTGAAGTCAATCAAAAGAAATACACGACATGACTCGTTTATATACTGGTTATACACGATTAATACATAACATGTGCCCAATATGACACGACTTATTAAATACGAATTAATAAACAAATTGGATTTGAATATAATATTTTTTGACAGGAACCCGTTAATACCTGACACAAACCCGCTTCACTCGATATAATTTACAGGCCTAAATATAATATAAAGTTGCTATAATGGAGATTTACTAATATCCATACATATAAATATATTAACGATTGATTCGAGCATGAAGGCACTATGTAACAAAAAAAAGGAAATTTCTTACAACACTTCTAAAAACAATACTTTCAATGCTTTTATTTGTACGAATTGTTGGTAAACAGAGACCTTTTACATAACTAATCTCAATAATAAATACTTCATACATTGAATGATTGTTTAGAACTTTCAAAAGTTATAATCCTCCAATATGTACAGAATATTCAGAGGTAAGAGTGACAATTAAATAACACATAGCAGTAAGATTTATATCATTAGCCTTTGTCATCGTTGTCTTGATTAAAGTTTTGTCTCGTGGCTTATATTTCATTGGAATAATCTACATGAAAAAAATAAACAAACCTAGGACGAATTTGAAATTACAGAGTGAAATGAAGAGACAATGGAAAGTCAACATAATATTTTGCCTACGCGAAAACTTTACATGAAATCCTATTAATATTTCGCCTATTATTTTTAATTATTATAATTTAATTTTTTATTCTTTTCGATGCAAAATATTAATCAAATTTTTATATTTAAGTTTTGACAATAAATTTTTGTCAATAGATAATATATTTAACTCATTAAATCTTAACTGATCGCAAATAAAATATTATCAATTAAGTTTTGAACAAGTAATTTAATGTTTGGGATCCTTTAAAAGTTGAGTTTAACCAAGTACAGAATAAGTTTGGACATAACAAAATTAGATATTAATTTGAATTTTTAAAAATTTGGATTATATCTAAAATACAAAAAAAATAAAAAATGCCTACTCCACTAAAGGAGTAAATTTTTTGGGGCCCTCTAAAATTTAGGCTTAAACAAGCCGAGAGTAATTTTAAACCTAACAAAATTAAATAGTGAAAATTGGGGTTGAGTCCTCCTTAAGAGACTTATAATGAGTTTAGTCTGTTAAGGAAATTTATTTGACGATAAGTTCGTTTTTCATCTTACTAAAAAGTAATTAAGTTAATTATATTTTTTTAAACTCTAAAATACCATTATTTGAAAATAATTTTAAATTAATTTCCTAACTTGAAAATTATTATCTTTTAATTTACTATCAATAAAAATATGTCAATAATTTTTTTTTACATAAATTTGAAATTCAAATTCAAAGAGTAACTGATACTCTCTCTCTCTCTCTCTTTATATATATATATATATATATTGGGCATGTTATTGTTCAAGTTACTGCTTTTTGTGAGCATTTTACTGTTTTGTTGGGCATGTTACTGTTTTTGTTAAACATGCATGTATATATATATATATATAAAATAAAGTAACTTACAATTCAAATTTTAAAAGATAAACAAAATGACTTTTACTATTCGCGATTGAGATCGTTTTAATTTTTACTTTAAAATTAATCTAATGATTAATATTAACACCCTAAATTTAATAGGAAAAATAGACATCTAAGGGTGTGTTTTGAGTGACTTTTTAAAAGTACTTCAAAAAATTATTTCTCATAAGTACTTCAAAAAAAAAATAGTGTTTGAAACCGTTCTATCACTACCTCTACCACCACCACTGCCACCGCAACCACCACAACTACTGCCGTCGCCTCCATGGTTGTTGCCACCACCACCACCACCACCATCACCGTCACGCACCACCGTCGTTGTCACTACCACCATCGCTGCCGCTGCCACCATCAACACCACCACTACCACCGCTGTTGTCGCCACCATCGCTACCACGATCATTGCCACTCACCACAACCATCACCGTCTCCTACCACCACCACTGTCGCCCACCACCTCTCACCCCCAGTACAATCAATGCTTAAATTCATTTATCTCTTATTTATGTTTGTGATTTGATTTTAGATATGAATACAAATATGTTTATTGTTTATTATTTTTTATTACTCTATGCCTTATGACACATGCAATAACTAGTATATATATATATATATGAGAGAAAAAATTTTAATGTTAGTTAAACTCCTAAAATTTAGGAGTTTTTAGTTTTAACATTTGTTTTAATTAAACATAATTAATAGGGATATTTTGGATAATAAAGATTAAAATAGACTTAATATTAGATAAATTTTTTTGATGAACTTATCACCAAATAAGTTTATAAAAGGGAATTGACTTCCAAATTTCTAAATTAAATATTGATTTGAACTCTTAAAATTTAGGCCCTAAAAATTTAGCACAAAACTTAAATACAAGGAAAAAAAAGGTCTACTATATTAAAAAAAAATTTTGAGGCCCACTAAAATTTGGGGCCTAAGCAACCACCATAGTTGTCTAGGGCCGGCACTGCTCTTACATGCATGGCTCAAGCCATAAAACCATTTTTAGTTGGGATGCTACGGTCACAACATTTGGTCACCATATTTCTAATATAGAACTAACACCCTCTAGTGGAGCACTAAAGTTTTGACATTTCTTCAGCTAAACCAAAGTTGTAAGAGAAATGGGCTTTGAGCTACTGGGTTTGGTTCTGGTATTGTTACTATGGGTGGCATGGGCCATAGTGACGGAGCGACGACATCGGCGTTTGGAAGAGCAAGGGCGGCTCCCGCCTGGGCCAACGCCATGGCCGGTGGTCGGCAACATCTTCCAACTTGGTTGGGCACCGCACGAATCATTTGCAAAATTGGCTCATAAGCATGGCCCTATAATGACTCTTTGGCTAGGCTCGATGTGCACGGTGGTGGTCTCGTCAAGTGAAGCTGCGCGTGAGATGTTCAAGAATCATGACATGGTACTCGCCGGGAGAAAGATCTACGAAGCTATGAAAGGAGATTATGGGAATGAAGGATCGCTCATCACGGCCCAATATGGGCCACACTGGCGTTTGCTGAGGCGGTTGAGCAACACAGAGTTCTTCGTTACAAACCGGCTTGATGCCATGGCCGCCGTACGCAGCAGGTGTATTGATCAAATGGTGCAGTTCATGGCAGAAGCTGGAAAGTCCGGCACCACCGCCATTGATGTTGGGAGATTCTTTTTCTTGATGGCTTTCAATCTAATTGGAAATCTAATGTTCTCTAAAGATCTGTTGGACCCGAATTCAAAGAAAGGAAAGAAGTTCTTCTACCATGCAGGAAAAGTGATGGAGTTGGCAGGGAAGCCTAACATGGCTGATTTCTTGCCCATGCTGAGATGGCTTGACCCGCAAGGAATAAGGAAGAAGATGAAATTTCACGTAAATGAAGCCTTTGATATTGCTGGAGGGTTTATTAAAGAAAGAATGGAGAATATGGATAGTGATTATGGTGAAGGCAAGAAGAAAGATTACTTAGATGTGCTCTTGGAGTATCGCGG